TTAACAATGCTCTGGGCACCTCTGCCTCTCTACTGCCACTCCAGACCCTCTACAGGTGGTTGGCAGCCCCTGCGTTTTGATGGTGGTGCCTTCCATCTCAAGGGAACAGCGGAGCTGGCACGGGCTTTGCTGGTGCTCCGCCTATGCGCCTGGCCCCCCTTGGTCACCCATGGACTAGCGGTGAGCAGTAGGCACAAGGACTGGCCTGGAAATTGCCCAGACTTGGCTCTGAGCCCTCATTCTGGGTCACCCAGTTTCAGGCCTGGTCTCAGCGACTCCTGGGCTCGCGGCTCTCCCGCACGCTTCTCCGAGGATCCATCTATGGGCAGTTTGTGGCGGGGGAGACAGCAGCGGAGGTGAAGGACTGTGTCCAGCAGCTGCAGGCCCTGGGACTCCAGCACCTGCTGGCAGTGCCCACGGAGGAGGAACCCGACTCCGCTGCCAAGACCAGGTATGTAGAGAGAGGCGGGTCCAAGGGAGGATGGGATGATGGCAGGAAGGGGGCTCGAAGGCTCTGGAAGCTGACCTCCACTGGCCGGGCAGTGAGGCCTGGTATGAGGGGAACCTCAGCGCCATGCTGCGCTGTGTGGACTTGTCGCGAGCTCTCGTGGACACCCGCGGCCCAGCCAGAAACAGCCTCATGCAGCTGAAGATGACAGCACTAACCAGCACCCAGCTTTGTGTAAGTGATAAGTGACACTGGGGAGGGGGGACACGGGTGTGGCTGCCCACCAGGCTACCCTCGCCACGTCAGCCACCACCCCATTTCAGAAGGAGCTGTCAGCTTGGATCCAAAGGCCAGCAGGCTCCTCGGAGCTGAGCCCCGAGAGGCTGGCAGACGCCATGGACTCAGGCCAGGTAAGGAACAGAGGTGGTTGTCACTGAGGATATGGTGACATGGATAGAGACAGATCACATGGGGTCCCAGGGCTCGGGTGAGGAGCGTTCCAGAGGAGGGATCAGGGCGACAGCAGCACTTTCTCCACGGAGGACAGGACATGAGTATTTGGTCGGTTGCTGAGCATGGCGGTGCATGCTGTAAACCCAACACTTGGGAAGCTGAGGCAGGAGAATCAAGTCGCTGAGGTCAGTTTCAGTGAGACTTGTCTCGAGAACTCAGGGTGAGAGATGGCTCAGCAGTTAAGGACACTTGTTGCTCTTGCAGAGGACCCAGGTTTCCAGCCTGCAGGGTGGATCTCACAGGCATACATAACTCCAGTTCCAGAGAATGTAACCCCCTCTCCTGACTGCAGTGGGCACCAGGCATACCTGTAATGTACATACAAGCATGCAGGCAAAACATCCATGCACATAACTTAAAAAGAACTATACGTTTATGTTTGGCGGTGGTGGTTTTGTCTTTAAGACAGGGTCTTATGTATCCCAGGCTGGTCTTGAACTCTCTGTGTAGCCAAGGATGACTTTGAACTCCTGATCTTCCTGCCTCCACTTCCCAAGTTGCTAGAGATACAGGTGTGTGCCATTGTGTCTGGTTTAAAAACTTTATTTTTTTTTTTTAGTCAATCAGCAGCTACACTGGTGTGTGCTTGCTGCATGTGATCTCTGAGGAGACCAGTGAGATTTTCCTTTTGTCTTGTTTTGTTTTTTGAAGCAAGATCTCAGCATGTAGCCCAGCCTGGCCTAGAACTTGGAACCCTCCTTCTCAGTCTCTCCAGCCCTGGGATGGATGTTTGTCATCATGCCTGACCCTGATGAGGTTCTTGCTTTATTCACTCTTCATTCATTCATTCCTTTGCATTATTCCAATATCTGATTTCTCCGTGTGTGTGTGTGTGTGTGTGTGTGTGTGTGTGTGTGTGTGTGTGTGTGTGTGTTGAGAGGATAGGAAAAGGTATTTTTCTTGAAACAGGTATTTTCCTCTATCACTCTCAATCTTTTGGGTTTGTTTTGAGATGAGACAGAGCCTCTCTACATAGTCCTGGCTGTCCTAGAAGTCACTCTGTAGACCAGGCTAGTCTTGAACTCACAGAGATCCGCCTGCCTCTGCCTTCCGATTACTGGGATTAAAGGCGTGCGCCACCACACCTGGCTTTCCCATTTTATTTTATATTTACTTATTTATGGGGGAGGCGGTTTAGAGACTGGGTTTCTCTGTATTGTTTTGGAGGCCGTCCTGGAACTAGCTCTTGTAGACCAGGATGGTCTTGAACTCACAGAGATCGACCTGCCTCTGCCTCCCGAGTGCTGGGATTAAAGGCGTGCGCCACCAACGCCCGGCTCCCATTTTATTTTTTTAACAGGCAGTCTCTCACTGAACCTGGAGCTCACTGTGATGGCTACATTGGCTGGCAGGAGCCACCCAGGATCCCTGTACCCCCATCCCTGAAACCGCCCTAGGGTTACAGATGTGCTGTTTCACCACAGTTTTGATGTGGGTGCTGGGAACCGGAACTCAGAGCCTCACTCCTACCCAGGAAGAACTTTACGCACTGAGCCATCTCCCTGGCTCCTACTGAGGTTTTTTCTTTTAGCTTTGTAAAGCAGCTATGGCCCTGAATGATTTGTATTTGTTCTTCTCTCATTCATGACAGTGAATGAGACACTCATACAGTGTCCCCTCTGCCACTCCTCCCAGTTGCCACACACACACACACACACCCTCTCCCCGACATCTACTCCTCCTTTTCCCTTCAGAAAACAGCAGGCCTCCCAGGAATCTCAGAAAAACACAACATAACAAGTCACAATAAGACGAGGCACAAACTCTCCTATCAAGGCTGGACAAGGAAACACAGTAGGAGGAAAAGGGTCCCAAGAGCAAGCAAGAGAGTCAGACACCCCTCACTCCCACTGATAGGAG